AATCCTCATTTTCCTACAGAGCACCGCAATTATGGAATAACCTCAGGGGCACAGTCAAATCTTCATTCAATCTAAAATGCTTTAAGAGATCTAATGCAATATACTCCAATACAGAATCCACCTGTCATGGTTGACGATATTTATTACCTGTTTGTGTATGTGTTAAATTTATATATGTGTGTATGTGTATATATAGTTTGTATATTGTATTTTTTTTTTTAATATTGTACCCTATTGTAACAATGCAATGTTTTGTGGACCCATGACATACTTGAAAACGATAGAAATCTCAAAATATTTTATAAATAAAAGTAGACAACTCAAGTTTTTTAAAATGGGCTATGTCTAGTCTTCATTAGCAGCCACTTAATCACAATCATTGGCTAAAGTTAGTGGTCATATTTGTGTTTTTCTTCATACTGAAACCGCACTTTCACTGATATTATTGTCATGACACATTTTAATGTTCTAAAACACTCTTATTTGTGTTCACAAAATATCCCGAGTACAACAGTACCCCCCATGTCCATTTTCTATGGTATTTTGGAAGGTTACAGGGTCAATATAGGGCTTACTCATTTCAGTTTGCTAGAATGGTTTGTGAGGCCTTTCCTCAGGATCAACAATGTTGTTGATCCTGAGGAAAGCCCCAAACGAGGGCTGAAACATTTATTTTATGGAATAACTTCAAATAAATAAATATTTTAATATATTATATATTTGTGGTCAGGGCAATATTGGCCATGATGGTAAGATAACACATATTACTTATATATAATATAACAATAGATAGTGACACCATTTGGTTGTGGTGTGTCGGAACCAACAAAGCAGTAGGCCTGTAATAAAGAGGGCAAAAGGAAGTGTACCATACATACTACACAACAACAATTATTTGGTCAAGTCACGAAAAGCCTGTTGTAACTCATTAACTGGGTTTGGAATGTATAAGGTGTAGGCAGAAGATTTCCAGCATCCCCTTGTTTTGATTAAATGAGCTGGAATATGGTTGGAGGAAGTGGATGATGCTGCCTCTATGCGGAAGGAATGGCCCAAGTAATGAAAAGTGTTTAGGCCCAGTCTGGTCAAGAGCAAACGGACAATGCATAAATTTGGTGGTGGTAAGCGTAGAACCGTGTAGTTCTAACAGTTGTTGATGTGGTTGTTTTTGAAAGGTTTTGAAGTATGCATCCAACACCTTAACAGGACACCATTTGTTGGAGGTAGGGGGAAGGGGTAAGTCAACAGTGCGCCCCCTTTGGCTGGTTTTGGAATGGCAAAGAGACAGAATGTAATGGTATCTGGATTTGTGAATATCTGCCATTTAAGTCTGTTGGTGTTGGTGATACTGCTGGATGTAAATTTCCCTGGATGTAGGAATCCGTAAAACCTAAGATAGATGGCTGTTTTAATTACCATGTTGGTTGTATGTTGAAATGGGGCAGTATCTGTCTCAAATACATCCTCTCTATATGCTATGCACAACATAAATCACCTTTCTAGGAGTAGGAGAAGTGAATGAATAACAGAGCTCATGAATAACAGAGTCTCAATATACAAAAATAGAGAAATAAAATACCAGTCTAATCCAACCCCACAAACGCAGATATAAATATACAAATATATATAGCAATAAGCATACCAGACCTAGTGAGAAGCAGGGACAGATTTAGTCACCAAAACACATATATATTCAGAATTTTTCTGATCATTGCTGTATAGCGTGACATGATCCTATATTTTGGATCTTTATGTTATGTGATATTCTTATAGAGTATACCCACTTAATAAAGATTGTTTTATTATTATTGATGGTTGTGCTCCTTACTCTTTTGTTATATACTGAAATACATATACATAAGCATGACAGGCAGCAAAAACAACACAGCCAGGTACTGGCCGACTTACAAATGCCAAGTGGCAAAACAATTCTGCTAGCACAAGGTGACCAGTGAGGCCCTGCTAAGTGCCAAGTTGTTTGAGAGGCTTGAACTATGAGTTGGCCAGAGAGGAGGTGGAGGCCACTGAAACGCGAGTGGCAGAGTGATGGCCTCAGGAAGAATACTAAAGCATAAGATAGAATGGGAGTAACAGGTGAGGCGAATAACTATCCATTGGGAAGATGGCGTCATCCTCTGAGTATGAGGGGTACCTCCGAGCATGAGGATGAGTGTTGGCCTTGCAGGACCACTAGCTTACGGCAGAGAGCCAGAAACATAACCTATGGGGCCATCCTACATCCCTAGGCCAGTACTAACATTTAAAGGAGAAAAACCAAAGGGGGGTGGATGGGGGAGGGTAAGACATAGGGCGTCCTGTTGTTGTACCTGTGCAGGGTACAATCAGTAACGGAGATTCACAGCTGAATAAATGCGAAAGATAGGAGCGGACACA